GACCCTGCTCACTCTCTCTGATTTGTTGTGGGTTTGAGTCCCCCTAGGAATAAAGCCACCCAATACACATTCCTAAATAGTGGCAAACCTTTATTGGTTAACCTAGCAAGTGAGCAGAGAAACATTACTAAGAATTGTAGAAGGAAAGGATAGCTTGGGTAGTGGAATATATAGGGATGTTAATACCTATGGAGTAAAGAGATTAGCAGAAGCCAAGTAGATAATAATGACATAATAATGAAGTCAATTGACTCCCTCCCTAAATAGAAATGTAACTGTCCCTGCCAAAGAGTTTGTTTTAAACTTTGAGTGAACGAGGAATAAAAAGATTTATAACTGTAGCATCCAGCACCCCTACCCCCCAGATCTGCCCCTGCTGATATCTAACCTAAATCTCCCTTATTGCAATTTAAGGAGCTGCCCTCCCCTTTTCCCCTCTACCCCCCATTTTGCTTCCCAGTTGATATGAAGAATAGTTAATGACCTCCCTCTTTGTCACCTTGTATATATTTGAAGACTTTTACCATGGCTCAAGTCTCCTCTAAAGCCAACTCTTTCAGTCTTTTGACATGGCTCGTGTTTTCGAGAGAATTTTTTTTCTTCCCTCTGAACTGCCTTTAGTTGATCAATTTCTTTCTCGAAGTGCAGTGCCTAAAACTGGGTACAGTATTTAGTTTAGACCTTATCATTGATGAGTAGAGTGGAAGGATTACTTCACATTAGGGCTGTGCGAAACAGCATCATTCTGCTTCAACTTCCGTTTCAATGGAACAGTGTTTCGTTTTGAGTTTCGTTTCGAAAGCGCTGTTCTGTTTTGTTTTGTTGAAACTCTTTGGCTGTTTTGATCTGTTTTGCCCATAGCCAGCGCCGAGAAGATCAGTGGTGCCGCTGGCCCCAGCCAGCAGCACCAGCCTCCTGTGATCTGGGAGGCAGATTGGGGACTTGCACGCCCAGGTGCAATCTGGCACAGCCCCCACAGACCTCCCTGCAGTGCGGGTGAACTCCTGATCTGCCTGCCAGATGACAGGAGGCTGGTGCTACCGGCTGGGGGCACGGGGCGGCACCCGACCGCCAAGGCCTGGGTCCAGCCAGCAACACCAGCCTCCTGTCATCTGGCAGGCAGATCGGGAGCTCACCCGCACTCCCGGGAGGGCTGCGGGGGCTGTGCCAGATTGCTCCTGGGGGTTCAAGTCCCCAATCTGCCTCCTGGATCACAGGAGGCTGGTGCTGCTGGCTGGGGCCAGCGGCTGGTGGGCCTGGGGCAGATGAGCTTGTGCGGGGACCCACCACTGCCCTGATCCTGAGGCGGCGGTGGGTCCCCTCACCAGCTGATTTTTCCCCGGGCCCTGCATCAGAGCTGATCCGAGGAGGCAGGGAGAGTCAGGTCTGCGCTTCCTGTGAAGCTGAGCCACCTGGGGCTGCAGAGCTGCTCAGAGCACAGCCCTGGCTCTCCCTTGCCTCCCACCGCCAGGCTGCTTCAAAATTCAAAATGTTTCAAAACTTTCGAAACATTTTGACAGGCCTCGTTTCATTTAGAGACTGTTTTGAAGCTCTTGGCTTTGTTTTGTTTCGGTTTCACAGTTTCAAGCTCAAAACGAGTCGAAACAGTATTGAAATGAAACAGCTGGTGAAGCTTCACGCAGCACTACTTCACATGCCTTTTGTCTGGTACTTCTGTTTATACATCCCAGCACAGAGTTTGCTTTCTTTTGCAACAGTATTCCATGGTTGACTCATCTTCAGTTTGTGATTCAGTGTCACCCCTAGATTATTTTCTGTAGAATTGGGGTGTGGCCAGTTCCCCATCTTGTGTTTCTGCAGTGTATTATTCCTTCCTAAAAGGAGTACATTGCTGTAACGCTCCCAATTATCCAAGGGTGGGGTTTTCTCGAGTTCCTGCCAAGTTAGGCCTCCCATCAACTTGCCTGCTATGACTTTGATGATACACAGTTTGATAAGAGGGGTTCAGTGTTGTTTAATACAGGGGTCCCACTTGGGTTACTCACGGATCCAAGAGTGTCTGATGAAGGGGGATCCACCTCCCCAACACCCCCAGCCACAATCCAGCTCTTGGTGTTGAGACGATGGACTGATGCTTGATCCAGGTTTTGATCTAGGGGGCAATTCTGAAGGCACTTCCTAGCCTTGTCCAGATTGCTCTATTACTCCCTTGACAACAAGGGGTTAATCTTGAACTTAAGCCCCAACCTAAGACTCTGCCAGTCCCAGGCAGCCTTCTCTCAAAAAAAGAAAAAAAAAAAAGGCCAAAAAAGAAAGAAACAAAGAGGAACTTAATTCCTAGGATGGTTGCCTCTATTGTGGCTGATGCCCGTCTCAGCCTGCCGGCAACACTCCCAGCTTACTCGAGCTGCTGGATTTGTTTAGTAATTGAAGCTTTGCTCCCTAGCCTTGGGGGCACGAAGCCTATACTGCTCGGTATATATTGAGCCTTGGGGCTTTGACACCTCTCTGCCTTGGTGTCCTGCACCTGCTGCAGCCTCTGCCGTAACTGGCACAGAGGCAGGCTCTCCTCTCTCCCGCCTGGCACTCCAGGGGTCTTTTAAATCTCTCATTGTGGCACCGGGGACTGATGTCATCAGCCTGGCGCTGCCCAGCTTGATCTGGGTCTTGCTTATGGGGTCTTTCAGGCCCCTTTCATTACAATTGCACTTAGCAATTCTATTTGAGATCCATTTCTCTATTTTGTTAATATCGTTTTGACTTCTAATCCTCTTGGCTAATCATTGTTCATAATCATTTGATCAATTAAAAAAAACAAACCTGTACTTCTCTACAGCATTTTCTCTATTGAAACAAGGAACATCTAAATACATTTTGAGATTGCACTGTTACACCTGAACGCAAGCATTGTAGGCTCGATCTTTAGATATATAAAGCGAAAATTGGGGAATGTCAATAGCATGGCGTTGAGCTACCGTTATGCCTCTTTAAATCTTGGGCCAGTTTAGAGAACTGAACTGGCCTATGATGAATTAATCAAGATAATGGACAAAACTGCTCTTAAGTTATTCTGACTAGCAGGCTCCTTTGGAGGTTGTTCCACTGGTTAAATATTGTTGGAGGACATAGTATTCCAGGCCTGGGCCAGCTGACCACATTTATCATTGTGATGTAAAGTGGTATAGTATCTGGCCTAGTATAGAGTAGCTAAATAATTCTAGTAATCTTGTTACACGGTGTTTTTTGCAAGCTTTGTTGCCCCTCAAGTGGATGGTTATATGGAAAAAATGTCTGTAAAGGTATTGAATGAAAGAGTACATTTAGTAATTGAGAGGTTTTTAACTTGGGATCTGTGACGCAGATCATCCAACCCTGAACTGAAACTTCTTGGTGGTCTTCATAAGTAGCTACTACATAGAACAGGAATCGGTGCATTAGGACTCTAAGTGGCTGGGCCAGAAAGGACTCGGTGCCCTGGCCAAGTTTCTTTTGAGGCAAAGTTGTATTTTTCAATGTAAAAATGTCAAATAAAAGGGTTGCTGTGTCTACCCTGTGATATTGCTCTCAGAGGCCCTTTCCCTTCACTTTTTTTGCTTCAGGGTTTACTGCAGGAGCTTGTACCCCTATCACAGCTCTCTCTACCTGATCATTTCTTAGCTGGTTCTATAGGTTTTGCTGACCCTCCATAACTCTCTATAGAGAGTAGGCCACCCTGTTTTACACTTCAAAATTAAAGCTATGAAAGACAAGCATTGCCTTTGAATAGAGGGGGATAACACATCCCCCAACTATTGCTCCAGACGTTTCTGTTGGTAACTATTATTTTTTGTCTGTTTCATATTCATAATTCGTTGTTTCATGGTTAATATCAGTGGTCCCTCTAGACAGCCAGGTCTAAAGTATTTTTTCTACAGCATAACAAGAAACAAAATTAAAAATGCCTAAGCCTTACTGATCCTATAGTCAGAGTGAATTATGGTAGATAGAAAGTATGCTGCTGTAAATAAGGCCAGAGAAAACAGATTATGGAATCTGAGTTTGATACTGTGCAGATCAACTTATATGTACTGGAAATATTGTATTCAAAATGCCATGCATTTTTTTCTTGATGATTTATAGCATGTATAAATGTGTGTGCATGCATGTATATGTGCACATTCATGTGTGTGTACACATACATGCATACATATAATACAGTGTGTGTATGTTCTGACTTATTAGCAGTAAACATTTACACCATAGTGCCCATCGAGTGGCCCAGTCAAGATGAGGATTTTGTCATCCAGTTATGTGAAAACATGGCTCTGGGCACAAGAGAATTTTACTTTTTGTCATAAAGTGTCTAGGAATTTCACATTAATTCCTTCTTTCTAGGTAAATGATATGCTCTTGATTTCTGTCCTCACTCCCAATTTTTTAAATTAAAATAGACTGTTTTCTCTGTGTTACCTCCTTTTCTGATTTCAGTCTGGCTTGCTTGCTGAACTCTGTCTTCCCTTGGGTGGTAGTGCCGGTTTGGTCTAAGAAAGCAGGCTGAAAAACAGGCAACGGGGCACAGGTCCATTTCTCAGGAAAAGGGGTCTGGGTTATCTTCATATAGATAAAATCTAGAAATAAAAATAAATATGTTAGATACATTTATTTTTGTTTGAATTTGTGTGGAAGAAGTAGAAAATGGACTGCTGAAACAGAGTTCCATTTCCAGTTTCAGTCGTTTCCACATTGTTCTCTGTGTAGAAATGCAAAGAAGAATTAAAAACTTTTTCTTGTAATTTCTTTTAATTTCTCCCTGCTAACAAGAAATTTTGGACACCATTGATTCAGTGCTGATTACTGAATCACATGAAGATGGGATCTAATTTCAGTGGACAATAAGATAACCAAAATCTGGGAGTTTTTTATTGAACAAGAGAGAGATTAATATTTTGCTAAATTGAGAATGACTGTGAGGAGACATCAAGCAATTGAAATTTAATTTTTGTGTTTCTGAATGTTTTTGACTGTTCAGAACTTAATTTCAGTTTTTATCTTTTTAACAGTTTGGATTTAGATGGAGACATGAGAAAGAAGTAGTTTCTGGAAAAGGTAATACTGCCTTTCTTTTGGTATTGTAATTATACTTGATTATTTTCTGTTGCTTTTTGGCTTTCTTGTATGACAAGATTAAATCATTAGTATACATATTTTTGTCCATATCCTGGAAATTTTAATAGTTAATCGTACTTAGCACTTCCTTCTTCATATCATTTTGTACTTCAGGATGCTTACTGATCTACAGGAATACAGAAATAATGAGTATTGTCTTTCTTTGCAAAATTTTTGTAGCAAAAAAACTTCATTATGCTTTTTCCAGTGTGGAATTTCATGAGTATGGCTCTTACATGAGACTAGTCAGTGAATAGCAATTGATTCTGCACTACTTTATTACTTTGCACTCAAATTCAGGTTACCAAGCACTTCCCATCTTAAGATCCTTTTTTCAGTTTCTAAAATTTCACCAGGCTTTAGGCTGTTGGTGATACCATGTACAGTTCCTGTAAACCTTGCCTCTCCACCAAGTTCAGCCAAAGTTTATAAATCTTAATTTAGCTATGCTCTACTAAAGACTTGCTAGCAATTATAGTAGCTCTATTTTCTGAAGATTTTGTCTGAACTGAATTTGCTTTAGCCCAGGACTGTAGGGGCTAAGAACTTTCCCTTCAATTGCTCTTCCAGCTCTTCAGGTCATGATGATGTCATGCACAAGAACTAAGGGCAGACTATCCTTTCTGTTTTCCCAGTGCTGCTTTTGCTGGCATCCAGGCAATAGGAAGGAGGAAGCAACTGAACTTGGATGTAGAGCAGTGATTCTTAAGTAGGGTGCTGTGAGATCCTTTTAAGGGTGCTGCAAGATGCTACTCAATATTAGCGTTGTTAAGTGGGTGAACACCTACATATGACTGACAGGATAAACCCAGGGATTTCACATAGGAATTTATAGTGTAAAACATCCTGACCTGTTATGGTCTTTCTGAGTTCTTTGCACCAGAAGAATTGCTCTGTTATTTTTCCATTGTCAAAAAACAAATGAAACTAAGAGCTGGCATTTTCTGAGAAGTGCTTTGAGTCTAAAAAGGTTGCGAAACACTGATATAAAGTAATGTAACATGGAATTGTCTGTTTGAGGCTTCCTCTACACATTACAGGTATCACACCGTTAACTCATTAATTGCACAATTACCTTGGCTAAGTACAGACATTTTGGGAGATTAAACTGAATGCAAAATGGCTTCCTGATTTAAACTTGGCTCATTTTGGTGCTGACCTTACACTTACAGAGCCAGTCTCAGTGACCAACAATCAGTCTAAAACTGTAACAGTACAGAAGCTCCATGAAAACAAACTGGTCTAAAAATTGCAGAACCTGGTTTAAGATAAATCTGGATCTACGTAGTATCAAACTTATTCGATTTAGGTCCAACCAGTGCACGGAACTTTCTCTGTGCAGCTCCTGGGCTGGGAAAACCTAGCCACTGGCCTCAACCCTGGGGCTGCTCTTTTCACACCCTGTCCCACACCTGAGCTATTTCTGCCCTGCCCCCCACCAGCCCCTTGCTTCCTTTCTCCCCAACCAGCCAACCCTCTCAACCCCCATTCTACAAGCTGGTCTGGGTGCAGCCACATTTATCAGTGTTTGCTACTGTTGGAGCCGAGCAAATAAGTCCCAGTGTGGGGAGGGACAGAAGGGATGGGGGTGTAGGTTCATTGGGGGGGACCCCCAGCCCACCCACCCCACCCGTGTGGACGGAGCCCCAATCTCCTCCAGCCTGATGGACCCCTAATCCCCTGCTAGTCCTTCCATCCTGACTCACCTGATATTGGGCAGCCATTTTGGTCTGATTTAACCTCACCCTAATGCCCCAGAATGTCTGTACTTGAAACCAGCTACATGTGCACAGTACTTATCACCATACTAAAAAGCTCCAACCAGCTCTAAAGTTAGACCTCGAAAATGTGTCTTAACTTTAAAGCTGGTTGGTATTGAGCTTTAATTGGCATGTGTAGCAGGGTCTGCCCAGAGTCACACAGCTGCAGATTCTGGTTGCCTACAGATGCTTCCCAGTGGTACAGCGGCAGGGTGCAGCTATAATCTCCCAGCCTTGGGGTGCCTGAAATCCCCTAAGGTGGGAAGATCGCTGCAGTGGCTGTCTCTTCCTGAGAGGTACTTGAAAACCCTGGGGCCAGGGAGATGGCTGCTGTGGTGATCTCTCTGCCCCAGTGATTTTCTGCACCCTCAAGGCAGGGAGGTTGCCACAGCAGTAATTTCCCAGCAATGGAGGGTGCATGGGGTGCCCCTGAAGTTGGGTGTCCCCTCAGCTGAGGGGGCTTCCAGCTGTGAGAGCTTGTATTGGGCTTCCCTTGCACCAGCAGGGAGGTGCAATGAGATCTAATGCACAATCCCACAATTGCACTTCCTACAATGCAGCTTGGCAGGAGGCACAATTGTGTGAATCATGCATTAGATCCAGATGTACCTTTACCTGCATGTGCAGAGGGGGCCTGAGAGAGGGCAGTAAGAAGTAAATGATAAGAAGTTAGGGGATATCTTCTGTATCTTGTGCGGTGAAGAGACTGATGTTGACAACTAACATGCAGTAATATTTGTTATATGAGGTTCTTCAGACAACTGTTTTCTCCTTAAACTTTTTTAATGTTCAAAACTAAATTTTCTTATTTAAAAAGTGGTTCAGATGTTAAACACTATCTCTCTCTATGCTGTAATAGCCTAGTCTAGTCTACTATTTCATTGCCTTGTTTTTCCTCCACAAAAACCTATTTTATTTAGGATCTGAGACTTACAGATACTTTTCTTCCTGTGTCCTTTGAAACAATGAAAACATTATGTAAATTGTTACTGAAAATTAGGAAAGTTTGAGGAACCTTATTTGCTTATTTGACCTTAATTAGCTAAGGTCATGGACACACCTTATATTTGGAACACTACAGAAAGGGCTGCTGATGTTGCTCTGACAACTGCTGCTCCTTGAGGCAGCAGTGGCAGAGAAGTCAGTTGCTGCTACTGCTGGGGCTTTGGGGACAGTTCCTGCCCTGGCCACAGCAGTGGCAGAAAAGATGGCTGCTACTGCTTCTGGGACAGTGGAGATAGCTGGCACCCATCTGCAGCAGTGACAGACAGCTGCTACTTCTGGGGCACTGGGACAGGAGTTGGGAGCTGTCAGGGCAGATGGTTCTGCACCCGTCACCAGCAGCAGCAGCATATATTTGAGGAATTAATGTGGATATTTGTCTCCACTGGGGCTTGTGCACAGTCATTCTAAAGGAGCTATTGTGAATTTCAGAGTTTAATTTCTCCATTCTCTGTCTGAAAGAAAAATCAGGAATCCTGTCATTTGCAAGCGACTAATTTCTTTGGAGTCTACTGAATGTGTGATTTTTATTTTTATTTATTTATTTATTTTTTCATCAGGTTGTATATGTGAATAATTTATATTTTGTCTTTATGCAAACATAGTGGAGGGTGCAGAGGAATAGGAATAAAGTGTTACTAACTTTATAAAATAAGTTGTGATTCCAGAAGTTTTAGATATTTTTCTTAATAATGTTTTAGAACTTCATCTAATGCTGTCTGTGACGGGGCAGCTCTTGGGGCCGAATCTCCTGCCGGCCCACCCGCCTGTCTCTATGGGACAGTCCGCCCAATCTTTCCTGCCACGAGTTTGTTGTTTCCAGAAACTGATGATATCATGCGGGAGACTACCCTGAGGCCAGGGAGCGCTATCTGCAGCTCCAAACCTCCCCTATGCTGCAGCCCATGCCTTGTATATGGCATCCAGATTAGTATTGCTCCCTGGTCTGACACCGTAGCAAATCCAGTTCAAAATTGGGCTCCATTCATACCCCTCTTACAGGAGGCCTCTTACACTCTGCTCCCCGGGGCCTCTGGCATACAGCCCATTACAGGGCCGTGCTCCACTGCCCTTGCTCCTCCTTGAGTGGCCCCTCTTGGGCCATCAGGCTTTGCTACTCGCATACTGGTTTTGCCACGCAGTCCTTGGGTTCCCATTAGTTCCCCTACTCTGTGTGGTCCAGCCTTGTGCCAAACCCTGGGCTGATTCTACCCCAAGCTCCTCACTGAGCAACTCTACACTATGTCCCACTCTGGGGTCTGTCTCAAGCTTGCAGTCAAGTTCTCACAGGGCTGGCCCTTGAGCTGGCCTTCAGGCTTACTCCTATTTGGCCCTACTCAGCGCACCGCTGGGACTGTCCTTCAGGTGTACTCGCACTTCAGCCCTACTCAGCCCCCTCACACGCACAGCCCTTCAGGTGTACTCTGACTTCAGCCCTACTCTGCTCACTACTGGGGTCTCTGGGATCTTTCATCACTGCTGGGCTCAGGTGGCACTCCGCAGGCTGTGCCTGGCCCCACAACTGCCTCCAAAGCCCACCCGAAGGCAGGGGCTGGGGCTAAGGTTTCCCTCCTCGCCTTTCACCAGGGAGGTAACTGGCCTGGCATTTCCTGGGGGCTCCCACGCCACTAGGATCCCCACCAGGCTACCCTTCCCCGGCAGGGTGCAGTTTTAGGTCATGCCCAGGACCAAGAGCCTCCTGCTTTCACCTCCTAGATGTTCCATGCCGCGCAGCCAGGCGATGTTTCTGCCTGGGCTGGCAGCAGCAAACTGCTACCTAGGGTTTCCAAAATGGCTGCCCTCATCAGGCACCTGGTAGCTACCTGCCTCTGCCCTGCCACACTGTCCTAAAGTGCAGCATTTTCGTTTCATTTAAAGAAATCATGCTTACACAGGTTCAGTTATTGCTATCTTTTTAGTTTGAGTGATTGAACTGAAACTCTTGTTGACTAGTATAATTCAGCAAATAGAACTATTTATTTTGTAGCTGAGTTCTCTTAGGATGCTATTATTATTGAATTAATTAATTATAATAATAATATTATTTAATTAAATAATAATAGATCGCTCCAAGGGTAGCCAGTGGTTGCCATCACTCGGTGTTTCCAGTAACAAGGACAATAAACAGAATGTGTTAGTGAACATTTAAAATTGTCTCATATTTTGAAAATTATATGTGGTGACTAGTAGGCCTGTGCGAATCAGCAAGTATTTGATTCGGCTTCGGCTGATTCAGAGGGACAGTGATTTGATTCAGTGATTCAAATCCTTCTCGATTCGATTTGACCAATTTGGATTTGGAGATTTGGCCGCTGAATCGGGCTGAATCTCCTCTGAATTGAACAGGTGGTGGCAGCAGGGGTGTAGTGGCGGTGAGCGGGGTCCCACAGTCCTGGCACTTAAAAAAAACAAAAAACAAAAAAAATCCCAAAAAAGACCCCACACTCACCAGCTGCAGCAGTGGTGATCAGGGCCTCTGGGGGCTTGTGACAGAGCCCCCCCCATGCAGCAGGTGGCAGCAGGGGTTGCCGCCCCCCACCTGGGTCCCATGTAGCAGCTGTCACATAGTGCGGGTGCAGCGCAGCTTGGCAGGGCGTCGCACACTTTCCCAGAGCTGGGGTGGCTCCAGCAGTCACCTGCAGCCCCAGCTCCCAGACAGCACGAGGAGCCCTGCTGAGGTGTGCTGCACCCTCACGATCTGACAGTTGCCATGCGACTGCTGGGGGGGGTGAGGGGTGGCTCTGCCATGAGCCCCCAGAGGCCCCAATCACTGCTGCTACAGCCAGTGAGTATGGGGCTTTTAAAAATATATATTTTTGAGCTGGCTGGGGCAGCCATGGGGGTGCTGGGGGAACAAGCGGGCAGTGGGGCAGGATGTGGGGAGGCTCAAGGGGGCTGGGGGAACCAACAGGATGGGGCCAGGTGGGGGTCCCCCATGGTTTCCTCCTCCAACCCCCTGCCCCCTACTTACCGGCATGGAGCCCAGGTCCGTCTCCCTGCGGCAGCAAACGGGGACCACCTGAATCTCCAAATTGTTTTGGAGGCTTCCAATTCAATTCGAACCTTTTAATGTATCTCTCAATTTGATTTGGATTCAGAGATTTGGCCCCTGAATCGGGCCAAATCTATTCCGAATTGGATTGGATACCGAAGCTTTGCACACCCCTAATGTCTAGGAACTCATATTACATTGTACTTTGCCTTTAGAATGTATATACCTGTCAAATATAATGTGTATACCTCTGAATTTGAGGCATTTACAACTTTAAGTATTACTGTTTATTACTTCCAGCTTTATGTTAAGAGTAACTTTAAATCTATAGGAATTTTAGTTTAAGCATTTGATAAATTAATATACTTAATTTAAAATATTAGTATTTTTCTGTATTCAAAAAATGAGAGAAAGCTAGGAGCTGGCATTTTCTAATGGGTTCCTTGAGTTGAAAAGGTTGAGAACCACTTCCATAAAGACAATAACTTAAGATGTATTGAGCAGAAATGTGGTTCACCACTAAGGGGCACAAGAATTCAACATTACAGAGTGTAGTAGTGATTTTTTTTCCAAATGAAGTCATTCAACAGCTCTTTTCTAAAAACTTTGATCAGTGTATATTTTATTAGGATTCTCAAATTTAATTTGGTAATATTAGGTAAGTAACTGAATTGGACTATAACTTTTTCATATCAACATGATTAGTTATGAATACTTGCTAACTGGCATTAAAAAGGTCGTTTCTTGCAAAAACATCAGCTTGACATGGGTTTTTATTAAGACCTCAGAAATAGTAGCGATAAGGACAATTTATTCTAAGGTTGTGGTTTATGAGTAGGAATGGGGGGAGGGGGTTGTGAGGGGCGGAAACATATTTGTTGAGGCTTT